AGTCTAAAGGAATACATAATTGCCTTATGTGCTTCTGGTTAGATTTACTAGGTTTTATTCCCAGAAGATTTGGTTACAAGCCATTCATTTATGACGTCCATCAAAAAACCTTATATTTAGACCCCCACAAAACTGTCAAAGATGCCAATACCCCCCCTCCCTCCCCCCCCTCCCCTTGTGACATCCAATCCAAGATCCAAAAAATTATAATTTCCTGATTTAAAAATTGGATGTCACAAATTTCCTGACCCCCTCCCTCCCTTGTCACAATGTATCACAATTTTTTGAACCCCCCTCCCCCCCTAAATGTTGGACGTCATAAGTTAATAACCCCTTAATAAAAAAATCTTACAACAATATGACAAATTCATCAAATTGAAGTCAAATCCACAAAAAAAAAATTCTTAATAAACTAAAGCTAACTCAAATCGATCATCATTAAACCCCTCCAGCCATTTCCAGTTTCCAATTAAGTAAATTTAATCTGAACCATCAGAAAATATTGTGAAAAAAAATTTCATTCCAACATATTCGATTAATTTCTCAGGAAAAATGACGAGAAAATGTTGAAAATTGAAATTAATTTTCCGTTTTAAAAAGCAGCACAGAACTGCGCATAAAAAAACAGAGAAAAGAGGAAAAATTTAATTAGTGTGGAAAAAAACATCTCTCGTTGAATACGGAAGGAAGTAGAAAACGTTAAACTTTCTTTATTTCAACGAATATGAATGTAAATGAATATCAGAGTGCATAAATATTTGAGTGTGTATGTGTGTAAATGCGAATAAATTTATGGCTGAAGCTATGAAAATGCTTGAATTGCAGCAACAAAAGGTGTACGAAGAAATGAGAAAAGGAGTAAAAATCTACCAACCGTGAACTTAATTAAAAATCACGTAACATATAATCTTCATCCAAAACCACAGCCATTGCCATCATCGTTGCTATCATCGTCACTATAATCTCGAATTGTACAGCTTGAAATCATTAAATCCACTTTTTGAAAATTAAAATGAATCTTTTGCAGGGATTTGGTAATGAATAAAGGGATTTGTTGGTTTTGGATGAGGAATTTAAAGGGCTGCTGGATGTTTTTGATGTAATTCTATAACGGTTGCCATTAATGGCGTGTCATACAGCTCAGGATACCTTTATTAATCTCATTCGATAGAATAGACTATAAACTTATAGCCAACAGACAGTCGATTACCAAACAAAACCTAAATTGATCCTTTTAAAGTTGTTTTATTGATTATAAGTTAAATGACCTGTTCTAGGTCCAAAATAATTCAACCTCAAATTTCTTCTATTAATATAGATAGATCCTCGACAGACTTACTTCAATCCACAACCCTTCAATGACAAAAAGTCGTCAAAAACACTTTTAAATGCTGTTTCATTCCTCCATTGCCACATCTTTATTTTATACAATTTCATAAAAAGAACAGCATTAAAAATTCCTGCCGTCCTTAAAAAAATGTTTACAACCTCTCACAAATGTGGCTGCAATGTTGTCTGAGTATTAAACAAAATAAGGTCGGGTGTGAACAGATGAGAAGCAAAAAAGTGCTTGCCAAAGCTCTATTAGGCGTAAAAAATTTATAAGCACAGAAAACTTTTTTTTAGTTCAAGGGTCGACATCGGTGCTGATCTCCCTCGATATTTCCAACCAATGCTTTTACTTAATGCTCAAAACAATGCACATTAAATATATTTTGTTGTGGGTGAGCATCGTGATGGTATTTTCATTACCGCAACAAAGTCGACCGATGGAAAGAAGTTTAAAAGTCGTTTAAAAATTTCCCCTAATGTCCTTAATGAAGGTTGGTAAAGGTGAGGCTTATGATGATCATTTATTACACATTTAAGAACATTGTGTATTGAGATGATGCAAGTTAGGGGGAAGGATTAAAAGACTTTTTGTTTATGTGGAGTCAATGGATTTAAAGGATAGAAAATTTATTACAATAGTTGACATTTTCTGAAAGTTTGAAAGAAATTAAAGTGTTGTGAACTTGTTGTTGGAATGGATATTGTTCTTAAAATTATCAAGGAGCTTTGACTTAAAATTTATAGCGTTCAAGACCCAAAGAGGTTTGCTCAGATATAAAAGAGTTTTCACATATTATGCTCGTGGTTTGAATGGTTGGGGGTCTACATCTTTGAAAATTGCTTAAATATCTTTAGTGACTTTTTACCTCTAGATAAAGATGACTGTAAAAGTAAAAGTGACTAGGTTTGAACTTTGAATTTTCCAGGTTTTCTAATGGCCATAGACGTGTTCTTGAGATCTAAGACCCTCTCATTCGAATCTTCTAGCTATGCCCAGCTCTAATGAAGAGAGGTTTAAAACAAGGTGTGCAAACGCGGATTTAAAAAGCCCCCGAGTTGAACAATATATTTTTAATTCAAAGAAATCTAGTTCAAATTTAATAAATTCAAATAGAGGACCCCCAAAAGTTTCATATTAAAATCAACCAAATATTCACCTTTTCTCAATTTACATCCTCAAAATCAATAAATTCTTCATTAAAATCACAAACCTAATATCTTTAAAGACAAACTCCATTTATGACTTATTATGGCAGCCAGGCTTAAACATAAATCCCATAAAGAACATTCCAAACATTTCAATATTTCATAAATTTATAACAAATTCAAAAGGTAAAGGAAGAATCCTAGCTGACATAAACTTACTTTTATCATTTTCCTGTTCCAACTTTTTATCACAACTATCAAGTTAGAAGAGATTGTAAACACATCGTTGGAAGATTAACATCTCAAATAAAGATAGAAGAATAAGAAGTAGCTTGAACCTTTTGCTTTTCATGTGTCTATGTGTGAATGCTTTACATCCATTCCACATAAAACTTAGATCATAATCTCGAAAAGGCTTTTTCGGTTTGATTTTCTTACTAAAATATAAATCCAGCACCTTTTATGTGTTTGTGTTGTCGAGGTAAATTTACATACTGTATATATTCACACATGGAAGTGATTTTAATGTAATTAAATTAAATAATTCATATGGAAAGGTGTTGGGTACGATACATAAAGGAGTTAAAATTTTCTCATTCCGATGAATTATGACACAATTGAGAGATAAAACTTCACATGTTATGTAGATATAGTACAGAGATAGCAAATGCTTCTATGTTATGACACTCTGAAAGTACTTTCAATATTTGATAAGTATCGATTTTGTTCCTCGTCGGAGTCGTCGTCGCTTGAACCAAAGTGAATATGTGTGTGGCTGGGATGAAGGTCTACAAAATAAACAGTTATTTTTTGTGGATACCGTAACATTTGTACATCTGAGTATTTGTATACATGCACAGACGATTATGACCGGACGTAGTGAGAAAAAATAAAGCAAATGAATCCCTATAGAGCACATATTTATGACACGGTGTACTAAAATATCCTCATTTAGCCTTATGTCATTTATTTATGCATGTGTGTGGGAAGTGAACATGATTATTTTGTGGATTATAAGATTTTAAAATTATAGTGAGTTGTGGCTTTAAAATAAGTTCAAATGTGAATTTTAGAGAAATTTTTTCGACATCTAGAAAGAACATGCTCTAAAATATTATGGAAATACAGACTTCCTGACTTCCAAAAAGATAATTCTCAACAGAAAGAGTTGTTTGAAGTAACTTAAGGAGTCAACAAGACATGACAGAATGCGTCAAATTGAACAAATATTTCCATAACCTTTGCGACTTCATACTCCAATCCCTCCCATAGCACATCCTGCAAACCAGAATGAAAATCAAAATGAAATGCATGAACATTCATATGCAATTCATGGACACTACTACAAATGGTGAGAACGAGTAGCAGTAGCAAAAAAAAGTTGTTTACTAAAAATAATTTATTCAATGTCATGTGTATGTACATTCATAAATGTTGGAACAAACGGAGAGAGATAAAAGTATGAATTCTGTACGAATGGAGCAATTGCAGTTGTTCACTTTTATAAAATGCAAATTGCATCAATTTAAATTTCTCTTTTTTAAGCTGAAAAAAAATTTTTTAAATAAAATTTTATTGGGTAAAAAATTGGAAATAAAATGCACTTTGAAAATTATTATGTAGCGACTCAACTGACATGGCAAGGGAAAATGAGGGAAACTTTTTGAATGCATGAAAAAATAATGGAAATTCTGATTTGCAGGAGAGGAAAAAATATATTTAAATTTATGTTACAGATAAGGACTAAAATATTCATCAATCCATTAAATATGAAATTTTGTGTTATAAATATGCAAATTTCGTTTAAAAACTAGGAATGCAGCATGACATGTCGTGAGCATTTTGCGAATCCTTGTCATATCGACAACTCTTTGTATAATGATAGAGAAAGAGAGAGCAGTCTCTAGTGGGAATTGAACCCACATTCTCATGAAAAAAGGTATCCGATTATCTAATCTGAGTCCTTACCAATTATGAAACAGAGTCTTAACTCTCATACTAGCAGATTCTTCTACATATGACTCGATTTCCCAGATTCTAAAATCGCAACTCTGGTTCATACTACACAAAGTCGATCATATTCATTAGAAATTCTTCTATTTTGTTCAGGACACATTAAGAACTTATTGATTAAGAAAAACTCAGATAGTCAAAAGAAGACTATGAATAGAAGCAACTAAGTCGATTGCTGATTAGAGAGAGCCGTGTATAAAATATTCATTACAGCAATGCTGTGAGGTTTGAGAAATTCTATTACACCCATTGAGTCAGGGGCGTAGCCAGGAATTTGATGAGGGGGGGGGGGACAAAAATTTTTTTGTTTTTCCATAATTATTTATGTGATTTTATGTGGGGGGGGGGGGGGTATTTATGTGATTTTTTCATAATATCTGATCAAATAATAATGAAAAGTCAACAATTCATTTTAAGTCCATATTTCATTTTAAGTCATTGAGTCAACGGCTGTTTTGAATTCAAAAACTCGATTATCCGATTTGAAAAAAAACAGAGTTCACTGTATTTTCGTTTGTTTATTTCAATTTAGTTTAAAAAGAATCGTCGTCAAAAGAACAAAGGAAAATGAGAATTTTACTCAGTATATTTTTAGTATTTATTTTTGGTAAGTAATTTATTGATCGCCATTACAGACATTCTAGTTTCATTGTATTTGCCGCAATTGCAGTTTTATTTTGAAGCGTAATTAATGAATTTCGTTAAATATCTATTTAGCTACCGTAATATCTTGTTCGGTAATTGTGGGTCGTAATCATTGCACTTATGGACCCTCTTATTGGTGCTCGAATATAACGTAAGTAAAGAAGAATAAGTAATCTAATTTAATTAGTATATTGGAGATTGATTTGCAAAGAAAATAAAAATTAAAATAACTTTATAAAATCGAAAAAATTGTCACAAAGGTTATCGATAATGAACTTATTATTTTCATTGCTGTAAAGCAAACAGATCAATACGCAAATCTTATAAAAATAATAAATTCATTTCAGAAACGCAAAAAGCTGTGGTGCAGTTCGTCATTGCATTAAGGCAGTTTGGGAGAAGCAACATGTCCCAGAAGATAATGATTCAATTTGTCAAATATGCCTTGATATGGTAAAGCAAGCAAGAGATCAGCTTGAGAGCAATGAAACAATGGAAGAGATTAGAGAAGTTTTTGACGGATCTTGTGATTTAATTCCCATTTCTATTGTAAAGAAGGAATGTAAACGAATGGCAGATGATTTTATACCTGAATTGGTAGAAGCATTAGCATCACAAATGAATCCTCAGGTACATAAAAAAATTTATAAGTAATCTTTCAAATGCTTTCTATTTCACTGAATGTGCCAATTTTAAATTATCATCATTTTAAAAATGATTCACTTCCTTATTTTAAAATTATTATTTTGATTGCTTTTGTCTTAGGTTGTTTGTTCAACGGCTGGACTTTGTAATAATGCGGCGATTGATAAATTGTTGGAAGAATATGAAGCACAAAGGCAGTCCTTCAATTGTGATAAATGTAATGACGTTGGAGATGCAATCTCAAATAAATTCCATACATCAAGTCGCGATCAAGTACTCGATGGATTTTTGTCAGCTTGCGGTCATTTGTCATCATTTTCTGATGCCTGCTCAAGCATTGTTTTAACATATTTCGATAATATTTATGATGAGCTGTCGAAAAACTTAAAATCTGACAATATATGCCACATGAGCGGTGCATGCTCAAGTAAATATCATAATCATGACTCAAGCAATATTGAAATTAAAACTCAATCAAATGTTGGCTTTATTAATAACAAGGATGATATTCCATGCGAGTTATGTGAGCAACTAGTAAAGCATTTGCGTGATGTATTAGTTGCAAATACCACAGAACAAGAATTCAAATCAGTTCTTTTAGGCTTATGCTCACAAACTAAAGGATTCAAGGAAGAATGCAATACCATTATTAATCAATATTATGGAATCATTTATGAGACATTAGTAAAGAATTTGGATGCAAATGGAGTGTGCTTCTTAATTGGACTTTGTGATAAGGGCATTAAGACAAATGGTCCAAAAATGCCTTTGCTACCTTCAAAACAAGTTTATTCACGAAAACGTCTTGGTCAAAATGAAAAGGTCTTTACAAATGCACAGATTCAATCAATGGTATTGCCTATTGATCAACTAATGGGAGCAAAATCAACACAGGACTTGATTGACGGAGGCCAACAATGTGCAATTTGTACATATTTCCTTCATTTTCTTCAAGAGGAACTAAGCAACGCAAAAAATGAAGATCAAATTAAGGAATTGGTCAAGAAAACTTGTTCGAAATTTCCTAAGACTTTTCAGCCAAGTTGCGACAGTTTTGTCGATTTGTATGGTGATGCTATAATTGCACTTTTGGTCCAGGAAATCGACCCACGTGATTTATGTCCACAATTGAAATTATGTCCAAGCAATGTAAATCAAGATGATGTTGATATATTCTCACCAAACACAATTAATGTTGAAATTAATCAAAAAAGCGCACCAAGTTGTCCACTTTGTGAGCTAGTTGTGGCTCAAGCTCGACAATTTATTGAAAATCCAAAGAGCAAAGAATCAGCAAAATCAGCTTTATCAAAAGTTTGCAAACATTTACCACCCAAGCCACAACTTCAATGCAATGATTTTATTCAGACATATTATGATGAGCTAATTGATAAGCTTTTATCTGATTTAACACCAAAAGGCGTCTGTTCTCTTTTAAAGTTATGTCCAGGAAAGACTGAAATCACAGAAGATACTATTAAAGTTGGAGTAGAAAAGGCTAATTTCATACCACATATTATTGTCACAAATGAAATTCTCGACAACACAATTGATGGTCAAATTGTCGATACAGGTTCTGGAGAATGTCTTTTGTGTACGTATGTTGTCGGTGGTGCACAATCAAAAATATCAAGAAGCATGACAAAACAGCAAATAGAAGATGTTTTATTGAGCGAATGCTCTAAATTCCATCCTTATCAGGGAATATGCGATAATTTTGTTGAAAAGAATGTCGATGAGATTGTGGATTTACTTTCGGAAGGAATGACACCAAAACAAATTTGTCAAAAATTATCACTTTGTGCAATCGAAGACGATTTAAATAATGATGAGGATGTAATCATTAATATTGTTGCTATACCAGCAGTTCCAATTATTGGTCGTGTAACATTGACAAAAGATGATACAGAGATCTACGTTTAAATTTGATTCATTGTGTATGCTTTGTAAATTTATTATTACAAAATTATAAAAAAGAAGTCAAAGCATATTCAAGAAGAAATTAAGCAAGTAGTAGAAAATATTTGCAGTAAAATACCAAAATCCAAATAACAAGACTAGTAATGAAGCTAATCATACAGTAGCGGCCAAAAGTATCCGGACAAACACAAAAATGTCTATAACTTTTGACTGGATGGTCCAATTTAATTCAAATTTTCACTGGAAAACGTAAAATCGAATGACAATTAATAAAAATATTACTTTAATAACAAATCTTTAAAACCAAAAATTTTATTTTAAAAAAACTAAAAATTGAATGGACAAAAGTATCCGGACAAAATTAAAAGTTTGACGGAAATTTGTTTAAAAAGCTTTTCTCACACTGAACGAATGCTTTTTTGTTAAGTATTTTGTGCTTTTTGTTCACATTCATCATGTCAACTCAAAAATATTTGAGTTCACCAGTTAAAAAAGCAATTATTAGTGCTGTAGACCAAGGACGAAATTACAGAGACATTGCACGTCAATTTGGCACTGGAAAGTCCACAATAGCTGATGTTGTTCGACAATTTAGAGAAAGAAATAATCATAACGTGTTACCGAAATCAGGAAGACCCAGAAAGACAACTGCAAGACAAGATAAGGCTTTAATTAATGCATCGAAAGCTGATCCGCGTAAGAGTGCGGTAACATTAAATGCAGAAATAAAGGAATATTACAATGTTCAAGTGAGTACAAGAACAACTAAACGTCGATTGAATGATGCAGAATTGTTTGGACGACGTCCCGTCAAAAAGCCGTTTGTTTCTGTAAAGAATCGAAATGCCCAAATAAAATTTGCCAAGGAACATCTTAATTGGACTCGTGAGCAATGGTCAAAAGTTCTTTGGAGTGACGAATCAAAGTTTATGTTGTTTGGATCTGATGGAATCAAGTTTGTGAGACGACCAAAGGGTCATAGAAACGATCCTAAGTATCAGTTACCGACAATTAAACATGGTGGAGGTAACGTTATGGTGTGGGGATGCTTTAGTCGTGATGGAGTTGGTCCGATTCATCGAGTTACTGGTATTATGGACAAGGAAATGTATAAAGATATCATCAACAGAGTAATGCTCTCCCATGCCAAACGTGTTATGCCTCGAGGTTGGATTTTCCAGCAGGATAACGATCCCAAACACACATCGAAGGTCGTTAAGGAATTTTTTAAAACTAAGAAGATCCGAGTTTTGGAATGGCCATCCCAAAGTCCGGATCTTAATCCGATAGAGCATCTTTGGGAACATGTAGAGAGACAAATTTCAGGTCGAAAACCTACAAATCAGAATGCTTTGTTTACAATAATCAAGGATGCTTGGGAAAAGATCTCAATAGATGTTTTGATTAAGCTGGTGGACTCAAGCATGGACGATGTCAAGCAGTAATTGATGCTAAGGGCTTCCCAACAAAGTACTAAACAGAAGAACTCAAAATTCTATCCATTATAAGCCATTTACTTAGTAAAGAGTATTTTTTTCTTAAACTTTTAATTTTGTCCGGATACTTTTGTCCATTCAATTTTTAGTTTTTTTAAAATAAAATTTTTGGTTTTAAAGATTTGTTATTAAAGTAATATTTTTATTAATTGTCATTCGATTTTACGTATTCCAGTGAATATTTGAATTAAATTGGACCATCCAGTCAAAAGTTATAGACGTTTTTGTGTTTGTCCGGATACTTTTGGCCGCTACTGTACTTCATTCGAATATTCACATTAGAAGCTCTTATATATTGTTCAATAAACACTGAAAATCTCATTAAATAAATCAAAAATGTGTTTAAACCAAAAAATCGTTAAAAGATAAATTAAGGTATGTCAAGTTTCTTTCAGCATTCACATTAAATGCGACTAGCTCAACCTTTTCCGAACATCTTTCGAACTTATAACATTTGTGCTTTGCTTCCTCGTATTCGGTGTGAATATAATAAGCTACAAATCTCTAAAGGATGAACGAATCTCATACCTTTAAATTTGCGACATCAGACAAGCACAACATGTCTATATACCACAACCTTACACTAAAAATAGGAGCAACTCAAAAGGAATTCCTTCATGTCATCACAAAAAAAAAGCCACAAAAATTCTTCAACCCCAAAGTCGATAAAAATATTTCCAACACAACAAAAATTCCTGTCCTCAACTAACGTCAATTTTATGACTGAAAAACTTTTCTTCTATCTAAAATATTAAAGTTTATGAACTAATTTTATGCTGACCATTTGTCTTTCTCATGATTATGATGATGATAAAGGAGATTTCTGGCAAAGCAGGGGACATCATAAAATAATATTTAATAATAATAATTTTCACATTATGGCATGCTCTATGTATACATCATGTAGACACTGACAATGTTGGAATCTGTAGAAAGTTTTATGAGTTGCAATTTTACAGTCATTTGATAAAAATTATTTCATGAGTTTGCTTACATTTATTGATGTAGTTTGGGTGGAATGTAAGAGGAACATAGTCAGAATATTTAAAGACCGTTATGGCATTTAGCTGGGTTAGCTTGAAAGTGTTTAAATGGTTTTGTGGAGCAGTAATATTGGTTCTGTTCGTTCGAAAATTTACCACAGACTATAAGTGGTCGTGTGTTCGAGACTCGATATAGTAAATTTGTCATTTTTCAAATCCTAGCTTTTAAATATTCAGCCAAAAAACTTCAAGGTCGTCAGTTCGAATCCCATATTAATGGTTTTAGAGGTTCAAATTCAACTATTGCTACTTTTGAAGATGCTAGAGTTGGGATTTGGTTGGACACTTAAAAAGTAGCAGAAGAAACTGCAAGACGAGATCAACAAGACCACTTTATGAATTGATAATACATTAAAATGATTCCTCCGTGAAATAAGGTTTGTATTGCCTCTAGTTGCATTCCCTGACTCTAACCTTGACTGATTAAATCAGGTGAACCCTATCTATAATCTTTATAGCCTCCTACATTACTCATCAATTCAAAATTATCAAAAAACATTCTCCAAAACTCACTAGAACATGAAAAAAAAACTTCTTGAGGCTTTTGTGGTTGAGCATATTTTCGTTATGAAATATTAGTTCCAATGCTGAACATTGTCAGTTTTAATATTTTCTACAGTTTGTGATAACAAATTGGTGCCAACATCCTCCGACTATAAATTGTTCTTGTTATGAAACTAATGGTACATGATGGATCTTGCTGTCTACCCTTTCGCACTTCATTAAATGAAAGTATCTTTAAATGGAAAGAAGACCTTCTGCCTACCATTTTTCATCATAAATTACGCGCACATTTTCTCATAAAAATATTATTTTTTTTTTGTACGAAAAACTTTTAAGATTTTGGGTATGGAACGGGTGATGTGAAATGAAACAATTGAATGTAAACAGCCTTCTTTTCATAAACAATTTAACGCCTTTTCTTAAAATGCTCGTTATATGATTTATTTCTGAAAAATGATAAATTATCATTTTAGAAAATTTTCAAGCAATTTGTGTTGTATGTTGTGAAGATGTATCCTACTTATTTTGAATATATGCTTGGGATTTTCATCTCTTTTTGATTCAATTTGTAGTCTTCTTTTAAAGATTAAATGTATACATGTGTTTAGTACATATGAAGGGTTTAAATATCGATGGGATGTCTATTGAATTGTTGAGGAATATTTTTGGGACAGGGAATTGAAAAATAGCATAAGAATTTTTAAAAGATCTTTATAAATAACTTTTGAGACTTTTGTATATCCTGTTTTACATTCTTTTTCAGGTAATTGATGAATTTCTTAAAAAAAAGCACCCCAAAAACTTTTGTAGGTATTAAACCCTTAAATATCTGTATACAGAGATGCATCAAGTTAGCAGGAATTGATTTCATTCTCTTGAGAGACTTTGGAAAGGGGGCCTGAAACTATGTCGATTGATTACTTTGAAGGTGTCATGTTGTGAATTGACAACCATCTTAAATTAAGATTAATAATTCAAGTTTCAGTGAGAATCGAACCCACATTTGTAATAAATCAACCACAGAAGCCTTACTATCACATTGTCAGATTCATCTACCTATAGTTCTTTTACTAGAGTCTGGTTTTAGCAATATCTGGCAACTATAGTAGCTAAAACCTACCCCAAACCTCAATCAGAACTTTTAAAAAAAAGGGGAATAGATGCTGTCACTAAACAACCTCTTTAATACGCCCCTGTTCAAATCCATTCAACATCACCGTGTTTCTCATAACACGGAATATTTGCAATGCTCATTCATAGGCAAATTGCAGATTGAAAATGTTCGATTGCTCCATCGTTCCGGAAAAAAAAATCCTTCTTTTCTCATTTTTCCAATGTGTTTTTCAGAAAATAATTTTTCTTGTATCGCTCTATGAAAAATATTTACGTGTCTCTATCTCACTTTCCCACATATATGTCTTTATTCATTCTTTCTTGATTCTATTCCTCCCATTTAATGCTCCAATGTTGTTTTTCTCACACTTATGACATTCTCTCGCTCATATTGATGCTTCTTTTTCTGTTATTCACGACCGTTTTTTTGTGAAATCAATATTTATTGAATGGAAATTTAATAAAATGTAGATTTTCACTTGCTTCCTTACTGTGCCTTATTTCAAGTGAAAAGGAATGATGGGAAATCCTCTTTGAAAGTGGAAACTAAAAATACGGATTATGAAAGCAAAAAAAAGGCAGAAAATTTTCTCGTTATTGTGCTGTTTTTGGTGAAAAATAAAGAACAGGATGATTTGAAGCTAGGATTAGAACCTTTGGAACCAAAGAGTCATTTTGACTCACAAGCTTTAGTCTAAGTTTAATCTTGAGCTTATTCCTTTGGCTTGTTATTAATCTATTTAAAAAGCTAAGTTTGATTAGCCATAAGTTGACATACATCTAGGAATGAGAACCTAGTTCAGTACTCTACAAGCTTTTTTGAGCATCTGAATTGAATAAAGTATCGCTGAACCTCATTTATGTTGCTAGCTATTTAAGTATAAGATGTATGTCAAAATGACTATTTTCTTGTTAAGGTATTAAACACATAAGTGCATCGCGGCACATAGTTCGAGAACGACTGACTTAGTCTCACTTTTATCCTTAGAAACTCTTTGAAACTGTTTTCTACCCTGACTTAAATAGAGGCAAATTTGAGATATATCTCAGAGTGTGAGATATAGATTTTAAACCCTAGTGTAGGTTATCTCTAGGGAGGCTATGGATCTAAGGGAGGCTATGGATCACAATTGATCTGTAAAGCCAGCGATGTATGTATGTATGTAGGTTATCTCAGGTAGCCATAGTAACTGTCCCTCCCCATCATATTAACCATCCTTAAAAATTCAAATCCAGATTATAACTTAACATTGAATTTTCTAGCTTCCATCCCTGAAAACTCAAATTATTCTACCATCCAAACACATACGATAACAGCAACGAGCGGCAAAGATGACAATGAGAATGAATAGAAAAATAAAACTTAATAAAAGCGAAAGAGAAGAAAAATAAGAAAATCTAAACGAATTTCTTTTTCCCGTTCGTTGAATGCAAGTTAAATAAAAATAAAGAATCGCTCCAAAAATTGTATTTATATTTAAATAATTCTCAAAAAAAAAATCCCTCATGTATTGATATAGTCGATGGATAAACGGGGGAAAGTATACATGTAGATAAATAAACGAGATCCTCATTGACTCAATAAATTGCATTTTATGATGAAAATGAAACAATTTTATAAAATAAAATATTGGAAAATAAAAAAACGAGAAAATCAATAGAGTTCATACATTTTAAATTAAGGAAGGATAAGAATGATGAAGTTGGATGTGTCTGTAGGGTGGAATTTTGAGCAGGCAATTTATTGAAGTTCAAATTTTTGATTGAAGAATTTTTAAACCAATTTTTTAAGATAAGTCTTTTAAGTTTTAGGTCCTATAACTTGAAGATCATGCTTGACCAATCGCAGTTTCATTCAAAAATCAGTCAAACATCTCCAATTAAAAATTAAAACATTTGAGAGCTTTATGCATGTTTTCCACACCATAATTAGAAAAGCTTTTGTGAACTCATGTGTGCTCAAGAGCTCTTAAAATATATTTTTTTTAATTTTCCACTATTTTTATAGGGTTTGTTCATAAGTGACGTTCAAATTTTAAAATTAAGCTGTGTGACTCTTAAAATAAGTAATTTACTTGGATAAAGATTATGCCACAGATGAGTTTGGGGATAGACGATAGACGTCATTTACGATCGACCCCACATATCCTACTGACATGATGCTCTCAAACAAAATATATAAAACCTTAAAAAAATGTTTTTTAATTAAACTTTTTTGCACATACGTTTTTATGCCTCACAGCGCACTCAGTACAAAAGAGAGTTGAAGAATAATTTGTTGATGACAACTCACCTGAAAATAAAGAGAAGAAATAATTTTCTGTGTTAGTTTTGCAATCAAAAAATATATAATTTTTTATTCTTTTATCATCATTGATATTTGAAAAAATTAATTGTTCGTGTGGATTTTCATGAAAATAATTTTTCACAAAGCATCGCAGTTTTTTTAAAGGGGATTTAAATGATTTTCACTGATTTTTCATTGTGTAAAAAATTCTAAGGGATTATGATGCTCAGATTGGCACATTGTCATGAGATTTTGGGTATTAATGTTTACATGTGATAATAAATGTTTATCATTTGTGAATGGGATTGTGGAAAAATGATGAAAAAGTTTGGGGATGGGGGTTTAAATAGTGATTCTCAAACTATGAATTGAGGTACACTCTTAACAAGCTCTTAGTTGTCCTA